TTTTTGTATTTTTAGTAGAGACAGGGTGTTGGTCAGACTAGTCTCAAACTCCTGACCTGAAGTGATCTACCCTCCTCAGCCTCCCAAAGTGCTGGGATTACAGGCATGGGCCACCACATCTGGCCTTTAAGACTACTGTTAACCCTTCTCTTCACCGCAGAACTTCTGAATCTGTAGCCTACATTTGCTCATTCTACTTCTTCACTGCCCAAAAATACTCATCAACTATTGTAATACACTGCCTGCCCTCACATTACCTGAATGAAATGGTTCTTGTTTTCAAATAAAATGATCTCTTCATTTTTTGCTAACCCTCAACCAGTCTCCTTCATCTCTATCATCTGATCATTACTTCTTGAAACTCCCTCTACTCTAGGCTACAGACCCTAACACAACACTCTCTATTTTCCTGCAGTTCTGAACACATCTATCAACTCCTCTTCTGCCCATTCCTATACATTGGAGCTCCTCGGCTGCATCATCAGCCCCTTTTTCTCCTTTCTGACCCTCCATAAGCATTTTAATTCAAGCTAATGTCTTTATTACCAAATACCTGCAACTCCCAAATATTTATCTCTAATAGATTTCTCTACTAAGCTACAAATCTGCATTTTGGGGTACCATTTTCATGGGTCAATTGTAATGAGATTGATACTTTCGATTCAATATATCTTATATGTAACTTATCTCACAGATGCCACAAACTCAACTGAACCCAACTTTCCTCTCTCTTTGTATTTTCTTCCTCAATTGAGAAGTCTAGGATAGACACAGTGGCTCATGCCTGTAATGCCAGCACTTTGGGAAGCTGAAGCAGCCAGATCACTTGAGTCCCAGGAGTTCAAGACCAGCCTCAGCCACATGGCGAAACCTTTTCTCTACAAAAGTGGCAAGGTGTGGTGGCTCATGCCTGTAATCCCAGCACTTTGAGAGGCTGAGGTGTGTGGATCACCTGAGGTCAGGAGTTCAAGACCAGCCTGGCCCAACATGGCAAAGCCCCATCTCTACTGAAAACACAAAAAAATGAGAGGAGCATGGTGGCACACAGATGTAGTCCCAACTACCTGGGAGGATGAGGCAGAAGAATCGCTTGAACCCAGAAGGCAGAGGTTGCAGTAAGCCAAGATCATACCACTGCACTCCAGCCTGGGCGACAGAGCAAGATCCCACCCAAAAAAAAAAATAGCAGGGTGTGGTGGCACACACCTGTACTCCCAGCTACTTGGGAGGCTAAAGTAGGAGAATCACCTGAGCCGTGGAAGTTGAGGCTGCAGTGAGCCGTGATCACATCACTACACTCCAGCCCGGGAAACAGAGTGAGACTCTGTCTCAAAAAAAGTGAGATCCTGTCTCAAATAAAAAAAAGAGAAGTCTACGAAGACTTTTGGCATCCTGTCTTAAATAAATAAATATCATAAAGCTGGATGAAGAATATTAATACTGTTTTTACATTAAAACAAGTAATCACTCTATGCCTTGGACAGTTCTAATCACTTTCACAACAATTATGTCAGCAATACTTTGCTATGGGTATTTTCACCATCACTGGTACTAATACCCTAACAAATATACAAATTTTAAAGATGTGAAAATTAAGGTTCAATGAGATGGAAAAGCAGACAACTCAAGAGTGGTGGAGTTGATATATTTGCCAAGCCATGTCTGTCTAAAACCAAAGCTTTTAACATCTACCTTATATCACAGTGGTTAAAGCATAGCAAAAGCAAAGCCATAAAAATGGGCTGAAGAATACAATCAGATAGATTCTGGCCAGGCGCAGTGGCTCACGCCTATAATCCTAGCACTTTGGGAGGCCGAGGCAGGCGGATCACCTGAGCTCAAGAGTTTGAGACTAGCCTGGGCAACATGGCGAAACCACATCTCTACTAAAAATAAAAAAATTAGCCGGGCATGGTGGTGAGTGCCTGTAATCCCAACTACTTGGGAGGCTGAGGTATGAGAATTGCTTGAACCCAGGAGGCGGAAGCTGCAGTGAGCCGAAGATCGCACCACTGCACTCCAGCCTGGGCTACAAAGTAAGGCTGTGTCAAAAAAAAAAAGATAGAGTCTGGGCCGGGCGCGGTGGCTCAAGCCTGTAATCCCAGCACTTTGAGAGGCCGAGGCGGGTGGATCACGAGGTCAAGAGATCGAGACCATCCTGGTCAACATGGTGAAACCCCGTCTCTACTAAAACTACAAAAAATTAGCTGGG